AAAACCCAGTATTGCAAAATCTGTAAATAGAAAACTGTGTATGTATATGTATATGTGTGTGTGTGTGTTTTCCATACTAGGGATCAAACTTGGGCCCTTTAGCTTGTGGAGCAGGCGATGGAACCACTGAGCCACATAAATCCCTGGCCCAAGATGTGTATTCTTGCTGGATGTCATAGTGTGCAGCATCTGTAGTCTTAGCTCTAAAGCCCAGGAGTTCAGGAATAGCCTGGATAGTATATCAAGATACACAAAGATGTGCAAAGTGTGATATTTGGAGGGGGTGGCAGGAAGGGACAGTTTGTTGGGCTCTGTCCATGCTAGACAGTGGTTTACCACTGAATTATGACCCCAGCCCCAAGGTGAGTATTCTTGTCAGTCTCTCCTGTACTAACTTCATGCTTGAGAATTTATAACCCTTGTTGATAATGTAGTTAAAGAAACAGTTGGTGTCCTCTTGAGACCACCTTCAGAGCTTACTCTGTACAACTGAGTTCACACTGCAGGAGAAATACACAGAGCTTCAATTTGACAAATCAAGAAAGAAGACAGTGTAAACTTCAGTCCATATTGGTCTTGGGGCTCATCTGGAAGTATTAATAATTTCAGTACACACGGGAAAAGTTTCCTCAAGTGAACAGGTGAAAGCTTCACTAAGTACATGCCAAAACTTTACTGGAGTCTCTTCTTCCCTAAGGAATATACTTGCCATTAAATAAAGCAGCCAGGCTTGACCCAGTGGGTACCCTCACCCATTTCCCCTGAAGAAAAATCTGGCCATTATACAGTTGAAGCCCATAATTGGCTTTTTGGTTTCTTATCATACACAAAAGTGACTTCATGTAGCAGCAGAAAGGAGAAAAGTCTTTTCCAAACACTTATAAAGAAAGCTGTTTTTTTTCAGATAATGAATGTGATGGGCTTCATGGTTATGTAGCCAAATGGTCTATGTGAAGAGAGGCCTGTGAGCATAGCATTCCACTGTGATAACAGCTTTGTTTTTTTCTCTTCATGGATACGTGAGGCAGAAGGAAGCACAGCTGTGTAGAGGTCAGAATTGTGCAGGCACAGCTTCCTCTTGAATGAAGATGGTCTGTGTGGTGAGTCTGAGGCAGCATTCATAAACCAGGACAGGTCACATTGTAGACTGAACTTACCTGTAAAGGTCCTGGAGACGAGTAGAAGCTGAAATCATGCATGCTTCTGGTTATGTTACCCTTTTAATATTCTTTTTGTTTGTTTTTTGAGACAGGGCCTTGATTTGTAGTTAAGTTAAGCCTGGTGTTAAACTCATCGTATAGCCCAAGTTGGCCTTGAACTCGAAGCAATCCTCCTGTCCCAGCTTCCTGAGTGTTGGGATCACAGGCATGTGCCACCACCCACACCTTTCTCTTTTAATAGCCCCCTCCTCCCCCCCGGGCTTTTTTGGTACCTGGGATTGAATTTGGGACCTTGAGTTTGCGAAGTAGGCAGTGGAACCACTGAGCTAAGTCCCCGGCCCTCTCTTGATATTCTTACCTAAACCCTCATTCTTTTTTTTTTTTTAAATGCTGGGCATCAAACCCAGGGCCTTCCACATGGTAGGCAGATGGACTACCACTGTGAAGCTGTACACCTAGCTCTGTGTGTGTGTATATTTATTTTTGAGACAAGGTCTAGCCTTTGTAGTTCCTGCTATTTTTGGAACTATGTAGGTAAGCCTGGACTGGCAGTCCTGCCTCAGCCTGATGCTGGGATTAGAGATATGTATCACTATGCCTAGCTTTTTGGCTTCAGTTAATTTCACAATGTAATCCCAGCCTTTAGGAGGCTGAGGCAGGAGGATTACCATGAATTTGAGGCCAGTCTGAACTACGTAGCATTTTTGAGAGCCTGTCTCGGAAAAAAAGTCTGAATTATTTAGCGTGATTATTTTAATTTTGTAGTTGCTCAATGAAAACCTTTAAGCAGGCCTAGAAAATCTTGTGTAGCAGGGATGAATTATCAGCTATTTGTGACTCTTCATCACTGAAAGGTTCTTTAGTTTGTTAGATTTTTTTTTTTCCTTTCTGCTTTCTCAGAGAAAAACTTTATAATGGCTACATCCATTTTTATGATTTTTTTTTTTTTTTTTTTTTGTACCAGGGATTGAACTCGGGGCCTTGCACTTGGCAGGCAAGTGCAGGGAGCACTAAGCTACATTCCCTGCCAAGAATGAATCTTTGTGGGGCCAGGGATTTAGCTCAGTGGTTCTGGTGCCTGCTTTAAAAGCGTCAAGGTCCAGAGTTCAAGCCCTGGTGCCAAAAAAAAAAAAAAAAAGGAATGAATCTTTTTTTGAGTCAGTAGACATGTATGTGTGTTGACTAATTTTGACACATCAGGCACAAATTTGTTGATTTGGGTTTTTCTTGAAACTAGCTTGTCAGGGGATGGTACTACATGAGGTAGCTTTTAAAGAGTTTGGAATACACAGTCTACCTGGAGATTCTAAGCAGTCTGTTGAATTAGATACAGTAATGTGATTAACAAGTTAGTGTGTGCTTCAGCAAGAGAAGCCATCAACAGAGTGGAGACAATCCACAGAATGGGAAAAATTTTTTTACCAGCTATTCAGATTAAGGACTATTTATCTAGAATATATAAAGAAATAAAAAAAATCAGACTACCCAAATGTAAAGACCCAGTGCAAAAATGGGCATCTCAAATAAAAAGACACTTCTCAGATGAAGAATTAGAAATGGCAAAAAACATGAAAAAATGTTCACCATCACTAGTCATTTGTGAAATGCAAATTAAAACAATGCTGAGATTCTACCTCACTCCTGAAAGAATGGCTATTATCAAGAAATCAACTAGGGCTGGGGATTTGGCTCAGTGGTTCCACCACCTGCCTTGGAAGTGCAGGGACCAGAGTTTGATCCCTGGTACAAGAGAAAAAAAAAAAAAATCATCCAGGTGTGGTGGCACATGCCTGTAATCCCAGCACTTGGGAGGATCGCTGTGAATTCGAGACCAGCCTGGGCTACATAGTGAGTTCCAGGTCAGTCTCAACTACATAGTGAGACCCTGTCTCAAAACAAAACAAAACAAAAAAAACCAATAGGGCCTGGGATTTAGCTCAGTGGTGTCCCGAGCCTGCATGGCAAGCATAAGGTTCTTACGTTTGATCCCTGGTACTGGAAAGAACAAAAACCGAAAAATAAATGCTGGAGGGGCTGTGGGGAAATATGAACCTCTCTCCACTGTTGGGGAAGTATAGAGTGATGCAACCACTGGAAATGAGTGTAGAGATTTTTCAAAAAGCTAAAACTAGAGGTTCCATTTGACACAGCTATACTGTACCTCTTTTTGGTATCTTCCCAAAAGAAGAGCATCACACCATAGGGCTATATGCATACCCATGTTTATAGCAGCAGTTTGTAAGAACTAAATCTCACAAACAGCTCAAATGCCCATCACTTGATGAATAAATGTGGTTTTTAAAATACAATGGGAGTACTTTTCTGCCATAAAGAAGGATAAGCTTCAGCCATTTATAGCTAAATGGACGGACCTTGAGACCATACTCTTAAAGTGAGATAAATTGGACACACATGCTTAAATACTGTATTGTTTCTGTGGTGGGAGAAACTGAAAGTGGAAATTAGGATTGAAATATACGATGGATGGCGTGGGGCGGGGATTTAGCTCTGGTGCTGTTGCCTGCCTCATTAAGTGCAAGGTCCAGAATTGTTTGATCCCTTTTACCAAAAAAAAAAAAAAAAAAGTATGATGGATTTTGGAAAATGGGAAGAAAGTTTTCAAATGGGCTGGGGATTTACCTCAGTGATTCCACTGCCTACCTTGCCAAGCACAAGATCCCAAGTTCCATCCCTGGTACCCCCCACCCAAAGTGCTCAAATGGAAAGGAGAAGGAGGGAAGGAGGGAGGGAGGAAGGGGGATAGGAAAAAAAGAAACAAAGCTTTTAGTACATAGGGAGGGGAAGGGACTGGAGGGGAATGGGATAAAAAATACCTGCTTTATATTAATATTGTGGATAGATCTGGTTTCTGCCATGTTACCGTTGTAGGTGTGGCTCACTGTAATTTGGGGAGTATGTACAGTAAGTGTACCTGTTTTCTCGCTGAATATTTTGCCAGTTTTTTTTGTTTTGTTTTTTGTTTTGACACTCTTCCTCCCACCCTACCAGCAATCAAATTCAGGACATTTCGCTTGCAAGGCAGGCACAGCACCACTGAGCTAAATTCCTGGCCCCTTATTTATTTATTTACCTATTTGGTACCAGGGATTGAACTCAAGACCTTATGCTTGCAAGGCAGGCTAAATCCTCCGCCCTCCTGGCTCCTTAATTTTGTTTTGAGACAGGGACTCACTGTGTAATTCAGGCTGGCCTTGAACTCACTATATAGCCTAGGCTGGCCTCAAGGGAGCTCACAGTGATCCTCCTGCCTCAGCCTCATAAATGCTGGGATTATAGGTGTGTGTCACCATGCCTGGCTTAGTTTTTCCAGTTTTTATTTTTGTTTTTGGGACAGTGTCTCACTTTGTAGTTCAGGCTGGCCTTGAACTCACTGTGTATCCCAGCCTGGCCTTGAACTGGGGGCAATCCTTCTGCCTCAGCCTCCAGATTTCTGGGATTACAGGTGTGTGTCCTCCATCCCTGGCTTCCAGTTTTTAAACATGAATGATTTTGAGAATTAGTTTCTCACTTTCACACCAGAATGTTTTTTTTCTTAAACTTAAATAAGCATCATATCAGCTTTTATGTTTCAAAAGTTACTTGAACATCTTAACATGTGACATTAAAAACATTAATTCTTGGATTTCCCTGCTTGAATTTTAATGCCAGAAGACTTCAGAGGGGTCTTAATGATACTTCCCCTAGAATTGCTTAATTGTACTTAATTGCTTTGGAAGTAACCAGCTATTAACCAAGTTATGTGTTTCCTTTTGGCAACAGTTCCTGTGACTTCTCACCAGGAGACTTGGTCTGGGCCAAGATGGAGGGCTACCCTTGGTGGCCTTGCCTGGTTTACAACCATCCCTTTGATGGAACATGCATCCGTGAGAAAGGGAAGTCAGTCCGGGTTCATGTGCAGTTTTTTGATGACAGCCCAACAAGGGGCTGGGTTAGCAAAAGGCTATTAAAACCATACACAGGTAAGAAAGCAAGAGTCACAGCGGTGTGGGTGGAAGGAAGGGGAGGAAAAGAGAGGGCAGGCCCTCCACACAAAATGCATTTTACTCCAGTAAGTTGCAAGAATGGCAGTTTTGAAAGGTTCCAGCATAGTGAAAGGGTAAAAAGCAGCTGGTTTTTTAGCCAGTTTGTTTTATGGAGCTTTATTTTTGTCCTTTGACTTAGAACAATTTAAGGGAAAAAGGGCTGCGGATTTAGCTCAGTGGCACTGTGCCTCACAAGCACAAGGGCCCTAGATTGATCCTGGGCAAAAACAACAATTAAAAGGGGGGAAATCATCTCATGATTAGAGTTAATTAATCAAAATCAGAACTGCAAAATTAAGGGTAAGTTAAATGGTCCTCATTTTGAAGGAGCCAAATATACATGAGCAGGATACACAGTGTGAATCAGTGACCTTTGTGACAGGAGATGCACACTGTTGACTTCAAAATCATCACCTTTGAGCTCATCTGAGTTGAGCTTCACACCAGAATTCTGGAACCATAACTCTCTCCTTCCAGGCCTATCCTCATTTTACCACAGACATCAGACATCCTGTGCCTTTGCCTCACTTGGACTAGGTGTGTACATTCCTGAGTCTAGGAATTACATACACTGGCTGCCTGGTGGATTACACTCATCCTTTACCCTCACATAGTGTGAGGATTGTATATTGTTGAGCTTCGTGTTTGAGAATCAGAACAGGAACAGTCTCCTAGAAATCTCTGCATCATAACCTCTGGTCAGCGTGCTTATCCTGCTAGGCATGGGGAATTAAAGAAGCTTGATATACAGTGTGGAAAAAGAATTCGGAAATTTATTTTGTTTACTGACTTGCTATATAATTTTGGCCAATGGAAGTAAATGATTTTCTGATACCTTTCCTCATGTATAAAATGCAGGGATCGAACTCAGGCCCTTGCACTTGCAAGGCACACAGCGGAATCCCTGAGCCAAAGCCCCAGCCCTCCTAGGATTTAATTTTTTAATTTTTTTGGGGCGGGGTACTGGGGCTTGAACTCTGGTCCTTGTGCTTGCAATGCAGGCGGCAGAACCACTGAGCTAAATCCCCAGCCCTTAGGATTTAATTTTTGATGTCTAAAAAAAGCTTGCTCAAGCCGGGCGTGCTGGTGTACACCTGTAATCCCCGCACGCTGGAGGCTGAGGCAGGAGGATCGCTGTGAGTTTGAAACCAGCCTGGGCTACATAGTGAGTTCCAGGTTAGTCTCAACTAAATAGTGAAACCCTGTCTCAACCCCCACCCCCCCCAAAAAAAAACCAAAACAAAAAAAAACCAAAAAAAAACTTGCTTAAAAGAAAGAGATTGAGGAAATGTTTACATTATGTTGTCTGTGCACACTGCTTTCTTTTACCATTTACTTATTTTGGTGCTGGAGATTGAGCCCAGGGCGCCTCATGAATACTACCTAAGCAGTGTGCCACTAAGCTGTATCTCCAGCCTTGCTCTTTCAAATTCCCAATTTTATAAAAGGTGCTTGGGAGGCTTGAAGGGAGGATCTCCACTTAAAGGCCAGCCTAAGGTACAAGATCCCAACAATGAATGTAACTGTACTGTATCCCTAAAATGTACCAATAAACTTAAAGCTGAAAAAAAAAAAAGGCCAGCCTAGGCAGCATAGTGAGACCCCGTCTTTAAACCCCTCCTCAAAAATCCAAAAACTCAGTTTCTTAATTGGGGGTATAGCTTAGTGGGTTTAGAAATCTTACCTAGCTAGTAGGCACAAGGTCCTGGATTTGATCCCCAGTACCTAATTTAAAAAAAAAAAACACCCAGTTGTTGCAGTACATGCATGTTAATAAATCGTGAGAAATTTATATGAAGAAAAGCATCTGAATGATTGTACTAGGGATTGAGCCAGAGGCCTTCACACTGAGCTACATCACAGGGAAGATCTTGCCACTTCCCCCTCATTGTTCAAATTTGGGACCCTCCTGCCTTGGCCTCCTAGGCTACAGGTGTGTGCTTCCACACTTGGCATGAAATAAAAATTTTCTTTTGGGGGGGTACTGGGGATCGAACTCAGGACCTTGTGCTTGTGAGGCAAGCGTGATGTCACTGAGCTAAATCCCAGGATTCTGTTTCTTTGAGACAGGGTCTCGCTATTCAGGCTGGCCTCGAACCCAACTATGTACCCAGGCCAGCTTCCAACTCATGGTGATCCTTCCTAGTGCTGGGATTACAGGCGTGCGTCACCATGCCCGACTTTGAAATGGGTTTTATTTTTTTTTTTGGTACCAGGTATTGGAAAGTGAATTTTAAATGGAGTCTTTAAAGAACTTTAAAATTGCATTTGGATACCCCCCCACCCCAACCAAGGATCAAACTCAAACTCAGGGTTTTTCGCTTGTGAGGCAGGCTCACCTGTGAGGCAGGCACGGTGCCACTGAGCTGCATCCCTGGCCCCAGGGTACCTACCATTTTGTAAAAATGTTTTAATAATATTAAGAGTCTGCATTACCTTCCCAAAATGGTAAGCCTCTTGCCGTAATTTTGATTATTCATTCATTAAAATGTCTGCTCTAACTACTTTGGCACAAAAAGTTTAGAAAGGATCCCAAAATAAATCCCATTACATTTCCTGCTTTACTTGAGAGGAGGTGTGAGGTGTGCCATACCTGTTTAGGGCCATGCTCCCAAGTCATTAGAAGAGAGACTAAGTAAGTGGTCCTGGGTGACCCAACAGTTAGGACAACTTCAAGTAGGTAAAATTGGTGATTCCAGTTTCATTAGTAGTTTATTGATGAGAATTCCTTCCTGTGGGTTTTATTGATCTATCTCTAAGGATAAAAAATAATGGACATTAGAAATTATATTTTTCTGCTGTCATTCCTGTTCATTAGGGCAAATGTAGATTGGTCCAACTATCCAGCAAGTTCTTATTTATAAATATATTTCTAGGTTCAAAATCTAAGGATGCTCAGAAGGGAGGCCATTTTTATAGTTCAAAGCCTGAGATACTTAGAGCAATGCAACGTGCAGATGAAGCCTTAAATAAAGACAAGACTAAGAGACTTGAATTGGCAGTGTGTGATGAGCCCTCGGAACCAGAAGAGGAAGAGATGGAGGTGGGACATTGCATTGTTATTTCTATTAGGAGAGTGATGGGGAAAAATGGCAGCAGGGGTGGGGAATATACTATGCGCTCACATGCACTTTATTTTAGTGTGTATGCATACACATACTTCTGGACCCTTCTGGATTGAAGGTTAAGTTAGGCTGGTAGACTCTCAAAGGTATTGCACTTTAACTTATGTTCTCAAGTCTGCTGGTAAGGTGAGGCATGGCCCATGCTATAAAAGGTAGTGCTATTTTGGTAAGAATTAGTTTTAAGCAGTACAGTAAAAAGTCTTTAAGTTGGTTGTTGAGGTTGTATACGCTTTTATTTTTTTGTTGTTTTGGTACCAGGGATCAAATAGGGGACCTAGAGCTTGTGAGGCAGGTGGTGGAACCACTGAACTAAATCCCCGGCCTGAGTATTTTAATCTGATTATAAAGATTGAGATTAGGGTTTGTTATGTAAATCATATTTAGAACTGGATGGTAACTAGAGATATCAGTTAGCTCAGTACTGGTCTACACATGCAGGAGGTCCATGATAGGACACTGTACCATGCCCAAATGATGCAGCTAGTTTGTGGAAGAGAAAGCAGTAGAGCCAATCTTGATTGATCATGCTTTCTTAAACTAGAGAATTTAGAAAATAGTAAATATATAACATGATCCTTTGTTAGGTGACTGAACAAAGAGGTATAAGACATGGAGGGAAACTTAAAATTACGTCCATGCTGTGATTATTAATGATGACTAGTCTTTGTAGTAATAACTTTTTATAGCATAGAACTCCTGTGGTGACATTTAATCCTGTAGTGTGATTCTTGTTTTAATGTTGGGGAAACCAAAATTAAGCAGTTTTGGGCTGGGGATTTAGCTTAGTGGTTCTGTTGCCTGCCTCCCAAGCCCAAGGTCCCGAGTTTGATCCCTGGTACCAAAAAAACCCCAAAACAAACAAAATCCCCAAATGAAGCAGTTTCTTATTTCTGGAAGTGTGTGAATCACAGCATAGTAATAGATATTTCATAGGAGTATCATAGCTTTTCAGATTTCATTATTTACTGATTTTTGTGATGCTAGGCATGGAACCTAGGTCTTTGTGCACACACCATACCGTTGAACCCTTTGCTTTCTTTTTAAATAAACTTTTCTTGTCTGGCAGGTAGGTGCAACTTATGCATCTGAGAAGAGTGAAGAAGATAATGAAATTGAGAGTGAAGAGGAAGTGCGGCCTAAGATGCAAGGATCTAGAAGAAGTAGCCGTCAGATAAAAAAGAGGAGGGTCATATCAGACTCTGAGAGTGACATTGGTGGCTCGGATGTGGAATTCAAGCCAGATGCTAAGGAGGAAGGAAGCAGTGATGAAATAAGCAGTGGAGTAGGGGATAGTGAGAGTGAAGGCTTGGATAGCCCTGTCAAAGTTGCTCCAAAGCGGAAGAGAATGGGGATTGGAAAGATTGGTTTTAAAAAGAATAGTTCAAGGAAGGAAACACCCTCAACCACCAAACGAGCAACTGGCATTTTATCAGAAACCAAGAGTACTTTGAGTGCTTTCTCTGCCCCTCAAAATTCTGAAGCCCAAGCCCAAGGTAGTGGAGGAGGTGATGACAACAGTGGCACCACCGTCTGGTATCATGAAACTTTAGAATGGCTTAAGAAGGAAAAAAGAAGAGATGAGCACAGGAGGCGCCCCGATCATCCCGATTTTGATGCATCCACACTTTATGTGCCTGAAGATTTCCTTAATTCCTGTACTCCTGGGATGAGGAAGTGGTGGCAGATTAAGTCTCAGAACTTTGACCTTGTCATCTTCTATAAGGTGGGGAAATTTTATGAACTGTACCACATGGACGCTCTCATTGGAGTCAATGAACTGGGTCTGGTATTTATGAAAGGCAACTGGGCCCATTCTGGTTTTCCTGAAATAGCATTTGGGCGATACTCAGATTCCCTGGTGCAGAAGGGCTATAAAGTAGCACGAGTGGAACAGACTGAAACGCCAGAAATGATGGAGGCACGGTGCAGAAAGATGGCCCATATATCTAAGTATGATAAAGTGGTGAGGAGGGAGATTTGTAGGATCATTACCAAGGGTACACAGACCTACAGTGTACTCGAAGGTGACCCTTCTGAGAACTACAGTAAATATCTTCTTAGCCTCAAGGAAAAGGAGGAAGATTCTTCTGGCCACACTCGACTATACGGTGTGTGCTTTGTTGATACTTCATTAGGAAAGTTTTTCATAGGTCAGTTTTCAGATGATCGCCATTGTTCCAGATTTAGAACTCTTGTGGCACACTATCCTCCAGTACAAGTCTTGTTTGAGAAAGGAAATCTCTCAGTGGAAACTAAGACAATTCTGAAGGGAACATTATCCTCTTCTCTTCAGGAAGGTCTGATACCAGGCTCCCAATTCTGGGATGCAAACAAGACTTTGCGAACTCTTCTTGAAGAAGGGTATTTTACTGAAAAGGTAAATGACATTGGTGTGATGTTACCCAGGGTCCTTAAAGGTATGACGTCAGAGTCAGATTCCATTGGGTTGACACCAGGAGAGAAGAGTGAACTGGCTCTCTCTGCTTTAGGTGGTTGTGTCTTCTACCTCAAAAAATGCCTTATTGATCAGGAGCTTTTATCAATGGCCAATTTTGAAGAATATATACCCTTGGATTCTGATATGGTCAGTACAAGACCTGGTGCTATTTTTACTAAAGCCAGTCAACGAATGGTGCTAGATGCAGTGACCTTGAACAATTTGGAGATTTTCCTGAATGGGACAAATGGTTCTACTGACGGGACTCTGTTCGAGAGGATTGATACTTGCCATACTCCTTTTGGTAAGCGGCTCCTAAAACAGTGGCTTTGTGCCCCACTTTGTAGCCCTTTTGCTATCAGTGATCGCCTAGATGCAGTAGAAGACCTCATGGATGTGCCTGACAAAATCTCTGAAGTTGCAGACCTTCTGAAAAAGCTTCCAGATCTTGAGAGGCTATTGAGTAAAATTCATAATGTTGGATCTCCCCTAAAGAGCCAGAACCACCCCGATAGTAGGGCTATAATGTATGAGGAAACTACGTACAGCAAAAAAAAGATTATTGATTTTCTTTCTGCTCTAGAAGGATTCAAAGTAATGTGTAAAATTATAGAGATTATGGAAGAAGTAGTTGATGAGTTTAAATCTAAAATCCTTAAGCAAGTCGTTACTTTTCAGACCAAAAACCCTGAAGGACGCTTTCCTGATTTGACTACAGAACTGAACCGATGGGATACAGCCTTTGACCATGAAAAGGCTCGAAGGACTGGACTAATTACTCCCAAAGCAGGATTTGATTCAGATTATGACCAGGCTCTTGCTGACATAAGAGAAAACGAACAGAGCCTCCTAGAATACTTAGACAAACAGCGAAGTAGAATTGGCTGTAGGACTATAGTCTATTGGGGGATTGGTAGGAACCGTTACCAGCTAGAAATTCCAGAGAATTTTACTACCCATAATTTGCCAGAAGAATATGAATTGAAATCTACCAAAAAAGGCTGTAAACGATACTGGACCAAAACTATTGAGAAGAAGTTGGCTAATCTCATCAATGCTGAGGAACGTAGAGATGTATCATTGAAGGACTGCATGCGGCGACTGTTCTATAACTTTGATAAAAATTATAAGGACTGGCAGTGTGCTGTCGATTGCATCGCAGTGTTGGGTAAGACCTAACAAGCTTGTTCCTAAGGCTTTGTTTAATAATGCTCTGTCCTAGGAGTATGTTTTTAAATCAGTTATAAGGTAGATGATAAGGTATTGACGTATTGCCATGTACATGCTTGCTTCCTCACTAGGCACAGCAGTGAAAGTAACTTAAAGCATTCACTTTAGTGGTATTGGGGATTGAATCCAGGCAGGGCCTTCACAGTGATCTGTCATCCCAGTCCCTTTAAAAAAATCTTTTGAGGACTAAGGACTTAGCTCAGTGGCACCCCTTCTGGTACAAGGTCCCAAGTTCAATCCCTGGTACCAAAAGAAAAAAAAAATCTTTGAGACAGTCAAGTTACCCAGGTTGGGTTTGAATTTATAATCCTTCTGAGTCAGTCCCAAGTGTGTTAGGATTATAGGTGTGTGCCACCACTCCTGGCTTGAAGATTTCCTTTAATTATTAATTGCCTGATTTTCAGTATTGAATTACTGAACAAAAGACTGATAGAAGACTAGCTGTATTTTATTTGATTTTTGAATAATTTTGAGACAGATTTTGCTATGTTGTCCAGGCTCATCTTTAATGCCTGGGCTCAAGTTGATCCTCTTGCTGTAGTCTGCTGAGTGCTGGGAACTGATTGCCTATACAGCAAGCTTTATTTTATATCAAACTCTCTCCCACACCCCCAGTGTTGGAGTTGCCAGATTTTTTGGGGGTACAAGGGAATGAACTCAGGTGGGCAGGCGGTATTACTGAGCTAAATACCTTGCCTGCCAGATTTTTTTTTTTTTTTTTTTTTTTTTTTTTTTTTTGGTACCGGGGATCAAACGTGGGTCCTTGCGTTTGCGAGGCAGGTGGCAGAACTACTGAGCCAAATCCCCGGCTTGCTGCCAGATTGTTTTTGTTTGGTGGTGGGGATCCAAGCCAGGGCCTGAAGCTTGTACTGAGCCACACCACCAGCACCCAGGACTCTTTAACAGTGTGAATACAATCAGCTAGTGGGCTAAAGTAGCATCCTTATGTTTTAGTGTGCTGCGTTTGGTAATTTAAGTTTTTAAAATCCTCAGTATGATTTGAAATTGGTCCCAGGTTTTAATACCGGTATGCTTACTCTGGGGGTAATCTTACTGGATTTCTCTTTGCTGTATATTAAACTTCCTTCCCTTCAAAAACCTCTGGAGTAGATGTTAGAGGCTAAGTCAAGTGTTAAATAAAGGAATTACGTAAAGTACTTATGCTGATACCTTAAAGTAACAGCATTTGATGCATTGGGTGGTTAATGGTGAAGATGCCATAGGTCTTAATTCAAGCAAATAGAACGTACTGCCTCTACTGAGTGAAAGCATTTTGGAAGACAATACAAAGACCCATCAGAAAATCCCTAGCTGGGTATGGCAATGTGTGCTTGTAATCCCAGAAGTTGGGAGGCCAAGGCAGGGGTGGTCCCAAGTTCATGGCCAGCTTGGGCCCCAAAGCAAGACCCTGCCTTAAACAACAAACCCCCTAAAACCCCCCACCAACCCACAAAAGCAAAAGAATCCCAAAATGATGAAGCCTTGTTTTTACCTTCTTTTTGACAGATGTCTTATTGTGCCTTGCTAACTATAGTCAAGGGGGTGATGGTCCTATGTGTCGCCCAGTAATTCTGTTACCAGGAGAAGACAATCCACCCTTCTTAGAGCTTAAAGGATCACGACATCCCTGCATTATGAAGACTTTTTTTGGAGATGATTTTATTCCTAATGACATTCTAATAGGCTGTGAGGAACAAGAGGAAAATGGCAAAGCCTATTGTGTGCTTGTTACTGGACCAAATATGGGGGGCAAGTCTACACTCATAAGACAGGTAACTTACCCTTAATGAGCCTTAATGTTCTGTTAACCAGAAAGTAAGGGGGAGGGTGAGTTTCAGGCCATGTGGGGGCTCTTTGACTTGATGAAATTCATTCAGAAGGCAGGTATATTTAAAAATACAATGGAGAGATGAAATGTTTCAAGTTTGTCCATTTGTTTATATATATTTTTCCAGTACTGGGAATCCAACTCGGGACCTTGCACTTGTCAGGCAGGCAACAGTGCCACTGAGCTACATCCCTTGCCATTTATTTTTGGTGCTAGCCATTGAATGTGGTGACTTGTACATGCTGATAAGCCAACCTCCTTCACTTAGGCCCCAGCCCTCCATTTAGACTCATCTGTAGGAGTCCTGAAAAACCTATGGTAGACTTGTTTAGAGGGTCTGAACTAGTGATTACTGGGGAACAGCTTTATTATTTTTTGGTACCAGGGGTTGAACTCAGACCTTGCATTTGCGAGGCAGGCAGTAGAACCACTGAGCTAAATCCCCTGCTGTTGGTCTGTTTTTGATACATATTTATCTTTCCTTTTCTGAACTGGTCACTTGGCCCAAAATTAGTTCTGAGCATCATCAGTAGTGTTGGTTTTTTTTTTTTTTTTTTTAAAGACGGTCTCACTATACTGTAGTTCAGGATGGCTTAGAACTCTGTGATCCTCCTACCTCTGCCTCCCAAGTGCTGGGATAACAGGCATGCATTACCATGCCCAGGATTATCAGTAGTCTTCAGCTGGTTCTACTGTCTAGGTAGGGTTGGGAATTGGCAGTGTAGTAGGCTCTGATGTTACACTCCTAAACTAAGCTTAACTTTTCTCTCTAATGTATCAAAATTAGGACTGTGAAGACTTCACAGTGCCTGAATCATGAATAAGGATTTTTAGTAAAGAGGCATTTATATCATGAACTTTCTTCTGTGTTCACAGGCTGGCCTATTAGCTGTAATGGCCCAGATGGGTTGTTATGTACCTGCTGAAGTGTGTAGGCTCACACCAGTTGATAGAGTGTTTACTAGACTTGGTGCCTCAGATAGAATAATGTCTGGTGAGTTGTCTATCCCCTATCCCTCCAATGCTTTGGAAGTGTTTTTTGCATTCGAACCATTTAAAGTTGTTATGCAAAACTGATTGCTCCGGACATTACTGTGTGACTGATGATAGATTCAATTATGACAAATTTGCTCTGATTCCCCCAACCCCTTCAGGTGAAAGTACATTTTTTGTTGAATTGAGTGAAACTGCCAGCATACTTAGGCATGCAACGGCACATTCTCTGGTGCTTGTGGATGAATTAGGTAAGACAAAATTTTAATTTGAAGATTTTCTTTAAAATATTAGTAGGAAGAACTATTTGTCCAGAAAATTATCTGAAGGGTATGTAAGGAATGCCTTTATATAGAGTATGAGCTGACCAGTAGTTGGAGATAAAAGGTTAAGATAGTGTCACAAGTTTTTGATTATTTTTTACACTTACCCATTTATTATAAATATTACAAAGGACACAGATGAGTAGCCACCCTAATTAAACTTATCAACTCACTAACATGAAGTTTCAGAACTGGAACAGTATGCTTTCTTAAACCCTGTTCCCCTAAGGGCTGCTTTATTTCTCTTACCAGTGCCATTTATAGAACACTTTTGGATATACTGATGTTATTTTAGAGACCCCCCCCCCACATTCTGTGAGGTGTAGAGATGGCATAATCTGTGCATATTTCACTTTTACAGGAAGAGGTACTGCAACATTTGATGGGACAGCAATAGCAAATGCAGTTGTTAGAGAGCTTGCCGAGACCATAAGGTGTCGTACATTGTTTTCTACCCACTACCATTCATTAGTAGAGGATTATTCTAAAAATGTTGCTGTGCGCCTAGGACACATGGTATGTGCAAATTATTAAAAATACTTACGCTTTAAAAGTATTAATTAGGGGAAAGAATTGTTAGCACATAATATAGGTAATAAATATTGTTCTTTTTTTAAGGCATGCATGGTAGAAAATGAATGTGAAGACCCAAGTCAGGAGACTATTACCTTCCTTTACAAATTCATTAAAGGTGCCTGTCCTAAGAGCTATGGCTTTAATGCAGCAAGGCTTGCTAATCTTCCAGAAGAAGTTATTCAAAAGGGACATAGAAAAGCAAGAGAATTTGAGAAGATGAATCAGTCACTACGACTATTTCGGTAATTATATTTTGATATACTTTCACTGCATACCTGGCCTTAAGTTTTCTGGGAGGGAAGACTTTGCACTGAGTTAAAAACAAGCAAGCAAAAAACAAAACAAAACCCTACTTTTTTTTTTTTTTTAAATTTTAAGGGAAGTCTACCTGGCTAGTGAAAGGTCGTCTATAGATGCTGAAGCTCTCCATAAGTTGCTGGCTCTGATTAAGGAATTATAGACTACATTGGAAGCTTTGTGTTGACTTTTGACAAAGGTGGTAACTTCAGACAACATTATGATCTAATAAACTTTATTTTTAAAAAATGACCATTTTTCCATTTTCTTTCTAGGAAATTATACCCTTTTAATTCTTACCTACCTTCTACATAATGGTTATTGAATACTCCACAATATATTAAGTCTAGATGTTATGGTACATGCATACACTTTCAGGCTGTTTATACCCACTGTCACCAATACACATAAAGGGGGTGGGGGAGCTATGAAACTGTATAGGGCTGTATATATACTGGTCTCAGCTTAACGCAGGAAATTGTTTTAATTTCCAGCATTTTGTCTAAACTGTTCAAAAGAAAACTATGAACAGAGTTCAAATACAGGACTGTTTTGAAGAGACTTTCTAAAGTGTACTTTAAAACATAGTAGTTTTTACCTTTCACAAAACTGAGTTACAAGAATACTTTTGTTTTACAGTGCATCCCTTCCTAGGAAGTCTCATTAAAACACTCACTTTTTCTAGGGGGTGATTTTGAATGCTGCACAGGGAAGGGAAGGAAATAATAAGTCTTAACTTTTCTTAAAGGATACCAGAAACATTGCTGGATATAATTTAAGATTAGTGTTTTCTCTTTCATAGAAAGAACGTACATACTGGGACATGAGTACAGTTACAGCAAGTCTAGGTGTGCTAACAAAACAGGGCACATTCAAGTACAATAAGATTTTGCTTGAAATTAAAAACAAACTACATGAGATTAAAGCATTAAAATCATATTTCTCAATCTGAATACATGTTAAAAAAATCAAAAGAAATGCAGAAGTGCTAGCTCACATTTTTACCATATTACAAAAAGCAATTGGTACCCATGTCCGTAAAGGCAGCAACAAAGCTGCTTGTCTATTGAAGATTACTACTGCAAATGGGACTGCATTCAATGCTAGTTGTAAAAACACCAGCTTTTCAGAAGTTGGTATCTATACAAAATTGCAGCTTATTTTCTTCACTTCTGTCCCTTCAAAAGTCTTTACACAGTAATGCTAAAACACCCAGCTTTGAGATCCTGAGTCAATATATTGCCACTTTCTTTTTTGGTAGCTTGAGCTTCATAGTGTCAACTGACCTTGTGTATCCACTTTTAAAACAGTCTCTTCCTGTAGCATGGGCAAATATTTTAAATCTTCTTCCAAAAAAAGTTTTAAGTTATGATGTTAGAATGGCAGGACTTTTTCTTTAGGGAAGGAATTCAGTTGTGCTGCAATGTATTAGATTCTATAGGTGGAGCAGAGTCATATAGTGTATCTGTATCATGTGTAGGCTCACCAGCTAAAGTACAAGGATTAGACAATGTTCCAGCACCACAGTCACAGAAAAACCTAAAGCAAAATGAAAACCCAAAAATTAGGAAAAGTGAGGAGAAAAATAACTTGGTAACATAGCAACAGTAAATGTGCTACATACCTATCATGTCTAATAAATTCTACATCATGTCCCTGATGGCACTTCTTAATGCAGTTCACACATATGGCATTTCGATCTGTGGTGTTGCAAGTGTGACATCTAAAAAGCAAAACTTTGTATTATTGCCCGGTCAGTTGTATTTTTACCCTATTATCTGACCTTTTGGCTTCACCCAGATGAAAGGGAAATTCATGTTTCTTTCTGAGGAAACCGTGATTTTATAAGTTGTTAATTAAAGTCTTTCTGGGCTGAATCTGGGGAAGAGGGGAGTCACAACTTTAGTGACTGTGACAGCTATATTTAGAGTACCATTTTCTACAATACTGGGATATTTCCATATTTACAGTGTTTCGGTCAATATAAAATTTGCGCAGTTATAAGTTGTCAACTTAAAAAAAATTACTATTTTCCCCTTTCTGGGCTCATAAATAATTGAGAAAAATACCTGTAGAAATCATGCATGGGATAGCTGGTATAACTTGATATTTTATATAAACACTGGCCTCTACTAACAGCCTTTTCTATGGCATCTTGATTGTTCATTATTTTGTTATCTGTAATAGAAAGACATAAGTAAAAATCTAAATGACACTTAAAAAAGACCCACTAAATTTGACAGGGTTAAGCAGATAAGTTACCCAATGCCTTATGTAAGACATACCAATATAAATTAAGTTGCCTTAAATTGTTGCTAAGTTGAAGAGTGGCAGAAGGAATCAACTAAAACAATGGCTTCTGATCATCTTTTTTATGGCATATTCATGTACTTATAGGCAGAACATACTCCAACATACCTTTCATTGTCACATTAACACCAGATGCTAAAAATAAGCCTCCAAACCGGTTGTTAAAAATCTGATTGCCTTCTAATGTTGCAGTTGCATGATTTGTAATTTCAATACCTAAAGTAAAATTTACAAACAAGTAGGTGCATCATCACTGGTTCTTGTATATAAAAAGTACATTAACCCTATTAATGTGTAAAGGATAAAATGCAAATACTGGTATCACTGACAGAAACATTAACACTTCATCACTGATAGTTCGCACACCAAGTTGAAGGGAATAGTGCCACAAGCAGGTTTAGGTAACTGGTAGTTTGAAGTGAAAAGGAGCTAGGTACCTGTTTTCTTCACTTGTAAAAATGTTAACTTATGTATTTTGAAAATGGGATTTTGGGTCAGAGGCCTTGAGTTTATCTGTGTTCCTATGAGGAGGAGAAGACTGCACTGAGTGTGACTGTTTCATGATGACTACTATGAACACTGAGCAATAAGAGTACTGTTTTTTACAAACGGCCTAGAGTGGAAGAATTTAGAACTTTGAATAGATTCTGTCATATGTGACTAAAAGGCATCTGGCTACTTTGGTAGCACAATTTGCACATTATTATAGTAGAATATAATGTACCAAAATATAGGTATTGCAGAATTATAAATATGCCACATACACACACACATACAAACCTGCAGCAAATCCATCAAATATTCTGTTTTTCCTTAAGACTGGATGGCTATTAGTGCTGATGAGAACACCTGCTTGTGCATTCCTGAAAATGTCATTTTCTTCAAGAAGACCTATAATAAAACATTTTCTTAGATCAAGGCTAATGCATACAGCTTTACTAGTTCTTTTGGTGGTAGGTTTTATTTACCTAAGCCAAATTGTAAATTCACAACTATTTTTCCACCTGAAATTTTATTTCAAAAGCATTAAGGTACAACTTAACCAAAAATGACTGTTAAGAGCACTCTAACCAGTGAACTCAAATTCATGATAGCAAAAATGTCTACTCCCTAATCCCTAGAATATTGATACATAACTCAGTGAATTTAAATTAAGATTTCTAAAAATTTCTTGCCCTATATTTCAGTTGAAAGCAAGCCCTTATTATTTCTGGCCTTTATTAGTATCTATGATCATTCTCTGATTAATTTCCTTTAATCTAGTCTGTGCGGCAGGGTTTCCAGTTTTCTTACAACTTATTTGGTTGAGAGAGGGCCTCTCTATATAGTTGAGACTGACCTGGAACTCACTATGTAGCCCAGGCTGGTCTCACAGCAGTCCTCCTGCCTCAGCCTCCCCAGTGCTGGGATTACAGGTGTGCACCACCACACCTGGCTCTTACAACTTTTTTTAAAAGACAAAGCTGTGTATCCCAGGCTTGCTTCAAACTCCTGGTTTTCCTGCCTTAGCTTGTTGAATGCTGGGATTATAGGGGTGTTCATCACACCCAGTTTCTAGTTTCTTACAACTTTTCTTGATTTATAAAGCTACTTTCTGAGTATGGTTTAACAAATAAGCTTGCTCCTTGCAAGCTCAAGGAGCAGAGTTCAATCCACGGTACCAAAAACAAAAAACCCAACTTGGTGTTTTTACAGCTATAAATCTTTTTTGTTACGTTTTTTGGTACTGGGGATAGAACTTGGGTCCTTGTGCTTGTGAGGCAGGTGGCAGAACCACTTAGCTAAATCCCCGGCAACTTGCTGCTTTCCCCCAACATAACTTCTTTGTGGAATGTCCCACATGTATCTGTCGTCTTCTGGGAAAGTTTTGGTAGCACTCATTTTTCTGGCAGTGTAACAGTATGGGTCAAGAAATCCTATCTTCAGGCCTTGAAAATACTCCACCACTTACTAGCTATATGATTTAGCGGGTTACTTAACTACCTTCTCTGTTCTTAACTGTAAAATGGGCATAATGTATGTGCTACATAAGAGTTCTTATGATTAAATGAACACATGTAAGAGCACAGCACTAATAGCTAATACTATGCCCATAAGACCTAGTTATACAGTGCATTATAATTACATACTGATATTACTCTGCTCCCTGTAGATGAGACAAGTCTTATTTTTGTAAGCATGTGACCTGTCTGTTATTCCACATATTGAAATACTGTACCTCTAAATCCTTTCCCCCTGAATGCCACAAGGAAATTTCTCTGAAATGGTCTTACAAATTTTCATGGTTATAAGCATTATATATGAGGCTGCTAATTAAAGTCTGTCTGCTTAGTATGGTCATTTATTTAAAACTGAATCCCTCACTCCCTCCAAGCAGGGTCTTGCTATTAGTTCACGCTGGCCTTGAACTCTCAGCAATTGTCCTGCCTCAACCTCCCAAGTGCTGAGACTACAGGTGTGTTCCACCATGCCTGGCAAAACTGACCTAATGTTTTCATTCTTTAAGTGAAAAGTACCACCTAGTAGTTATTTTAATCAGAACCTTGAGTGTCATATTTCACTGTCACTTCCCATACTGAGATTGATCATGGTCTTAATTGATGCTAAACATATATTCTGGCTCTAAAGTACCGGTCCCAACATCTATCCCCACCCCTTTTCTTTCTGAGACAGGGTCTCACTGTGTAGTTCAAGCTGGTCTTCACTATTGTAGCCCAGGCTGGCCTCAGCCTCCTGAGTGCTGGGATTACAGGTGTGTGCTACCATGCCCCACAGCCACCTATTTTTAAGATCAATAATATGCTTCCCTTTCTCTCATGCAATCACTTTAGTTCAAGCTCATTATTTCTGGCTTAAGTAATTCCAAGACTCAGCTTCTGATCTTGCATACTTCTACTATAACCTCAAGAGCTACTACTGAGAAAATAATTTC